TCTAGGCCTCAGCTATACCTTGCGAATAAAAACGAGCCAAGTACAAGTACTCGAATTTCATCGCATACTCAGAAACTATCATCCCTCCCTGATGCAGTCGCATAAACTCTGCCTCCTTGGCATGCCTCACGCTTTCTGGAAAGTACTTCTCCATAAACACTGTCCGGAAGCACTCCCAATCAACTGTAACTCCTCTAGCAGCAAGCATCTGATAGGTGCCTCTCCACCAATGTTCAGCCTCCCCAACAAGCATGTACACAACATATGCTAACCTCCTCTCTAGAGGACATCCCAGTACTGTAAAGATCTTCTCTAGCTCACGGATCCAGCGGTCAGCTACTTCTGGATCCGCATCTCCTACAAACTGTGGAGGATTACACTTCCGGAACTCAGCAAGGTCCCGACTCTCTTGTGACCCTGTAGGTCTTGCTGCACCAGCTGCAGCTCTCTCAGCCTCCATCCTAGCAAAATAGGCATTTTGTTGTTGCATAGCCATGGCCATCATCTCTATGGCACGGGCTATCTGCTCGTTGGTCCTAGTCATCGTCTACAAAATTAACAGCATCTTTAGTAAACAATAACTAAACCACACCACAATCAACAGCACAACAAATCATCACAGCAATTTCAGCACGGCAAATTTCAGCACAACAAACATCACAGCAAAACAACACAGCACAGAGTTAACACATCAAAAAGCCTAAAGGGACCACCCCCCAAAGAGTGTCCACTAGACTCGAACTGCTCTGATACCACTAAAGTGTAACGACCCAGCTGGTCACTACACACGGCACCGCACACTAGAAACACTGCACAGAAGAGAACAAATGTATATATATAGAGTCTAGAATATACATATACATGATCCAGTCTGAATAAAGTTAAAGTGTACAAAAGAAATTACAATCAAATGTTACTATCACAAGTAACTACACAGCAAAAAGGTATCACAACAGAAATAAGCTCCACGGGTCCACCGGAGACTCACCACCAGACACCCACCTATCCCTGCTCTGCTCCCATACATTGTATGATCATTGCAGTCCAACATCATGGAGACAACAAAAGGGTAAGCTAGTGTAATTAAAATTCAACATACAAATATATATCAATATAAATAAACAACAGATACAGTTATCAGCACACTTGTACAGCTTATACCACTCAACAATATCAGCACCGCAATGCGGCAATATCAGCACTGCTTAGCAGCAACAACAGCACCACTTGAGTGGCTATAACGGCACCGCAAAGCGGCAACAACAGCACCGCCTTAGCGGTTAGAATCAGCACCACATATGTGGCTAACAACAACACCGACTTAGCGGCTATAATATCCCACAACTCAGCACAACCTAGCACAGCACAACACAACACAACACAACACAACACAACACCACACAGCACAGCAATTCAACACAATTATTATTTTCCATAATTCAGCCCAATAGTCTAAAAATTCCGCTATACTATAAAATTTCACTTATTAATCCAATGATTCCAGCACAACAATACACCTCTAATACAACTAACATATTTATCTCCTTGTCATCACAACATATTCATCAAATACAACATGGTTCAGCATATAACATCATTGATTTACAATCTCGGCACAATTCAACAGCCAACATCATATAGGTCATCATCTGCTTGCGCGCCCGACGCACTCGAGGTCGCGCCCAGCGCGGCTTAACCCGAGAGCACCAGGACCAGCGCGCCCAGCGCAGGAGTACTCGCGTCCGGCGAGACTCAACCCGAGAGCACCAAGGCTCTCCCGCGCCTGGTGCAATTCCAAATTGCGCCCAGCGCCTGCCTGGCAGAGACTCAAGGAGTCTCGTGCGCTCAGCGGGGCCTAACCCGCGCCCAGCGTGGGGAAGGCAGAGACCTACCAAGGTCTCGCGCCCAGCGCAATTCGCATTGCACCCGGCGTGCTCTTGGAAAAGACTCCCAAGGAGCCTCCGCGCCCAGCGAGTCCAAAAGTGTGCCTAGCGCAGCACCAAGTATCCCAAAACATGTTACTCTTGATATCGCGCCCAGCGCAGCTCGAGTCACGCCCGGCGTGGGCCAGCCAGAGACTCCCATTTGCAAGTTCGCCCAGCGCACACAGCCTTGCGCCCGGCGGGCTTGCCTAAACAGAGTCTCCTGGTGGTCGCGCGCCCAGCGCGAAGAACAGTGCCCAGCGCGAACTCATCAGTAACTCTCCCCAGGTTCGAAAATTGCTCAAAACCTGCAAATCTTAACAGAAAAACCACATGCAAACGGTTCATAGTGTTACATTTTCACCAAGGAGTTCAAAAGTATCAGCTTTTTGTGCATGCAACAACAATTCAAGAAAATCCCAAACTTTGACTTAAAACCACAAAACCCCCAAAAACCCAAAGGTTTCAGCAAACTCAGCCATACACAGTAAAATCCTAACAGCCAAAAGGGTTCATAAACCCGTTTTCCAGCCAAAACGCAGCAAAATACTAACTTCCCTTACCTCGGTGAAGAAATCCGAGCTTCCGGGAAGAGACGATTGAGGAACGGAGAAGAGAGAAGAGTCGGAGAAGAAGAGGAACTCCCAAATGTTCAGCTAGCAACCTTAATCACTCCACACCACCACCTTGAATCCAAGAACCAAAGTGAAATCAGCCAAAATGAGAATGGAGGGAGAAAAGAGAGTGAAAGGGAGAGTTAGAGTTGGGAGGGGGAGTTTGGTCAGCTAAGGGTAGGGTCTCACAATATATACTTTCATGTGTCAATATTCGTCCATATCAAATTACTGCGTGTATATTAAATTAAGGTTTGTTCTTATTATAGTCCAAATTCTTTTGGGACATTTTTACGATTTTTTTTTCCTACATTCTTGTAGTCAATATTTAATTGAATATACCGAGGCTTTTCTTTTATCACCTATAACAATTATATAATATTGTGTATTTATCTATAATATATAATTATATATATAAAGGGATTCCTTGTTTTAGTTTATATATTATTGTTGATAATTTTAACCTTTAAAAATTGTCCAATTATAATTAATAAAAGTCAAAAAAGTCTTTTGATACAAAAGTTTTCTTTAAAAAAAAATTCTCTTAATAATTATCCACTACTTTCACTTATGTAGATTTAAAGAAAGACATGAAATACCTTTTACTCACTAATTATTATATAAAAAAAATATTCTGATTTGGTGTCCACAATTTTATAGACTCTTTTACCTCTTTACTAATATAAACAACTACCTACTATTATAGAGTTATGTGCATGTACATTCTCTCATTTTATCATTTTTTAATATATATATATATATATATATAGTTTTAATTTTTAAACAGCGAGGTACGTAGTGTTTTTTTTCTTAATTATTATAATGTAAATTATTAATGTATATACTTTGTCCCTCTCATATCAATCTAGCAGATGGCAGAAATAGCTGAATGGTGCTTGAAAGAGGATCCAATAGAAAGGCCTGAAATGAGGGATATCATTGGAACATTATCACAAATTGTGATGTCCTCCACAGAGTGGGAAGCATCCCTATGTGGCAACAGCGAGGTCTTTAGTGGATTGTATAGTGGAAGATGAAGCTTATTGCTTGAAGTCATTAGTAAAGTAAACCATTCCATGCACATTTATTGATTTCATGACCATTTGAGTACCAACTTTTTTACATCGTAAGATTGTTATCATGTTGTTATATCAACAAATGAGGAAAGGGTAAGAATGGAAACTGTTAATGACAAGGATGAGCAAGTGCAGCTAGCACACGGTCCACATGGGGAGGAACGTAGGAAAAGTAAGAGAGAGAGAATAACAAACTCACGTTTGGGTGAATACGTGTGGGTATCAAATGGTTATATAGGCCACTACATAGTGAAGGAGAGAGTAGTAGATTGTGCATTATGTTTCTCCTCTCATTGGGTTTTTCTTTAAGATTCTCTGTATGTTGCTATAGCAACACCCTTCATCACTATTATATTGAAGTATTACATAAATAATACATAGTCTTATTCTCCTTCATTACATTGGTGCTATTTTTTTTCCATGGTGGAAAACACTCGATTGAAGGACATTACCATTGATCTTAAGAATCTATTAGCTGATGTCAAAAGATTGATGGAAATGATAGAGCTGCATCATGCTGAATATTCTACTCATGTCAAAAACTTGGAGACTACTATTACCTCTTTGAATGTTAAGGGTGCATCTTCTCAATCCTCTAGGAAAGAGAGCTTTGGCTCCTCTACTACTCCATTTCAGGTTCGTAATGTCAAGCTTGATTTTCCTCGGTTTAATGGCACGAATGTTCTTGAATGGATTTTCAAGGTTGAACAATTTTTCACTTATTATAATATTCCAGATCATGTTCAACGCTTGACCATTGTTGTTGTACATATGGACGCTGAAGTGATACCTTGGTTTCAAATGATGGAAAAGAACAATCTGTTTCAATCATGGGTGGGATTTATTAGAGTGTTGGAACTGGAATTTGGCTTGTCACCATATGAAGGTCTACGATATGCTATTTTTAAGCTTACTCAGCTTGGATCTATCCACGATCACTATCGTGAGTTTATTGCCCTAGCAAATCGTGTATATGGTTTCACTCCTAATGCTTTATTAGACTGTTTTATCGGTGGTCTCCAACCGAACATTTGCAAGGACATTATAACCATAGAACCAACTTCTATGATGTGTGTCATTTCTTTGGCAAAATTGTATGAGGAGAAGTATGATCCTAAGCAAAAATATTCTCCATCCTAATCATATTCCAAAACTACTACTCCTACATTGGCCCAAACCCACAAAAACACTAGCCTTCCTCCACTTTTGCCTACTCCAACCATTATACACCCTACCCAAACAAAAGCAAAGAATTCTAATGTCAGGAAGATTTCTTCAGCTGAGATGCAGATCAGACGTGAAAAGGGCCTTTGTTTCATGTGTGATGAAAAATTTACACCTATCCATAAATGTCCTAACAAATAATATTTACTCTTGCTTATGGATGCATAAAAGGAAGCTCTTGTGGACCCTGATCCACTTGATAAGGGGAACGCTACACAGTAGCATAATGTAACTCTAGATCATCATTTATCTTTTAATGCTTTGAAGGGAGGCTCTGGTGTTGGTACCATGAAATTTAGAGGTACTATTAATGGAATCGCAATGTAGATTTTACTAGACAGTGGGAGCTCAGATAATTTCTTGCAACCAAGACTTGCTTTTTCCCTTAAACTTCCCGTGGAACCAACGACTGGATTTCAAGTGTTGGTAGGGAATGGTCATGCTTTGACAGTTGAAGGCATGGTCAAATCTTTAGAGGTTCACGTTCAAAGACATGTTTTACATTTGCAAGTATACCTGCTTCTAGTTTCGAGTGCTAACCTTGTGCTTGGAGCTACTTGGTTAGCAACTCTAGGTCCTCATATATCAAATTATAGTGCCTTGACCTTTAAGTTGCATTTAGATGGAAATTTTATTACTCTTCAGGAGGATACATATTACATGTTCAAGCTCAATTTCATCATATTAGAAGATTGAGTCGTACTAGGG